ATGTCTTCACCCCTTTTTTTTCTCAAAATTTCCCTTATTAATGTGAAACTAGAAGCCCAGATTATTCTTATGGATATTTTAAAATCTTCCTGATATATTTGACATCTTTGGTATTGCCATGTCTTCTACTGAAGGCTGGACACAAAACAACCCATCCCTTATTGTATCAAATTCAGAATTGGATGGTAAAGTACTGTGATAAATTTTGATGCCTGATGAGCACAGTAAATAAAAAAAGAAAAACAAACAAACAGACTTGTAATTAAAACATGTTAAAGAGCTGTGGATAAGCCTATTGTAGGGTTGTAAATGTTGAAGAAAGTTTTTGTACAGAACTGTTTCCAGCATTGAAAGGAAAATAAAACAACTTTGGTACTTTGTTAAAACTACTTCTTTGTGTGTATATGCCTTAGGTCCTTCTCAGACTCTGAGACCTGCCTAACTTTGGCCGTGTTTTAAAACAAAAGGAAAACTTGACCATGTAAATATTTTGGGTGATAAATGGAAAATGGCAAAGTGATGAGCCTTTGGTCACAAAAAGACAAAATTTGCTCTGTCGAATGTTTGTCTGTTGCTGTTAACAGTGGCTTGTAGAAGTCTTGTCAGGCACAGCTGACATTTGCTCGTAGTATATAGTTGGTCACTTCTGGTTGTCGCAGTTCAGTGACAACCATCTTGTTTAACCCACATGTCCACTCACTGTATCTGTGTTGGTTGAGCCTTTTATGCTAAAATCCCTCTTTGCTATTAATGGCCAGTAAGACTTTTTCTGGTTTAAAAGTTATGCTTCCATTTATATCAAAAGGGAAAGTCGATGGATGTTTATCACCCAGAGTGTGATATTTTGTAGTTCCTAGTTAGGAAATGGAGAATTTAACTGAATAACAAAAACAATTCAATAAGTTTTGACAGAGGATTAGCAAATTTGTAAGAATTTTTTAAAATTGTGGATTGCTGTTGTAAAATCAATTCACATGCCATTCCAAATTCACATGAAAAAATTGCCTACAGGCATTAAAAAAAGTGTGATTTCCTCAAATTGAATTCCTTAACCAGTAATGAACTGGAAGGATAATGCAACATAAATGGGGAAAGATCATACAGAAGGAAAAATAACCCTGAAGTAATGGGTCATATTTGAGACAAGGCTTAAAAACTGCATATCCATTTTATGACCTTCAGCCAAAATATATCTTGCCGTTGCTGGTTCATTGGCGAGTGTTGATGTTGATGTAAGATTTGTATATTTTCTTGGGATATATTCATTTATTTATTTATTTATTTATTATTTTTTTAAGGATAGGCTATACTGTAATACCTGGTCTAGATGTTTCCATCAATTGTAATGAAATTGTTGTTTCCATGGCACCAGGGATTCCTATATATTGCTTGATCACAGAACTGAAATGCCCATTATAACAAAAATTTAAAACTGAGCGTCTTTGGATTATTAGTATTTTCTTATACTGTCTGTATAAGAAAAGCAAAAGATTTCTTGTATATTCCAGTGCCAGGAAACATGAACTAATCATAAATGAAATATTCTCAGTGTTCATGTATTGTATCAATAGATAGTAAATGCTAAATATTTGGCTATGTAATAACGTATATTTCTGGCAAAGTGCAATATAGGAGAGGTAGATGGCTCTGCGGACTTCACATTACCACTACCAGACCAGAGCTGTGGGATGCTATCAGCTTGCTCATGTTAACTTCCTTGTAATTTCACCAACATCTATTTACCGTATTTACATTTGGCATCAAGGCAAGTTACAGGGCTGTTTGTAAACTGTGAGAAGTGGTGAGCTTTGAAAAGGTGAGGGTGAGAGCCAGAAGCTCCTCAAGAGATATGTTGTGCCATTATTTATCATTCTTATTATTGTTTAACTCCTCTTTGCAATGGATCCCCTTCAGATCTTATACTTCGTACATACCGTGATATGATTCTCTGTTGTCATTGTTGAATTGTTTAAGAAATGGATATATTTTCATATAGATTATGTATCTCTTGACAGGAGAGCATTTGAGTTCTAAAACTTGTGCTCTATTGAAAGAAGAAGAAGATGAAGAAGAAGAAGAAGAAGAAAATAAATTTATCTAGTCATATATGTAACATGTTGTGTTGTATTTTCCAACAAGGTGAAGGTAGGTTTGTCACAAGCAATGCATAGTGTGAGGCTTGAGTATCTTCATGTAATTGTTGATGCAATAATCACTTATTTCTTGTTTTAGTGTGTGGGTAAAGCTACTGAGCATGTAAAGTTTTCACTGTCAGTTCAAGAAGACTGATGATAAATAGATTTTTCTTTGTTTCTTTTTTAATAGTTATTCCAGGATTTTTACTTGTAAAATAGGTTTAATATTAGTTATTTTATGAAGTATGAATAAATATATAGAACAAGAAGGTCATGTACTAAGAAACCTACATAGATTTTTGTGCCTGCCATGACTGTTAGGAAAAGTAGCTTTTTTTGTTTCACAGTCTTGCTCTTTTTTTTCT